TGAGCGCCTGGGCGAAGAAGAGGTCACCGTGTTATCCTTAGGACAGCCGAGTCTGCCGAGCATTCACGTTAGCAGGGCTGCTGCGTCTGGTTGAGCGGACTGTGCACTGCACAACCTGAGCGGCACCTTCTCCAGCAGTCACTGGAGGTTTATTTTCATTACAACACACATCCAGCAAATGGAAATAAAGTTTATCACCCTGACAAAAGCAGCATCGTACAACAGCTTCAGGCTAAGTGGGAGAGTTCTAAGCAAGGGGTACACTTTCCAAAGATGGGCACCACCACAGCGCTGTACACCAGCCTGTGAATGACAAGGGAACCAGCTCTCTGGAGAGCACTGGTTTCCAGGATCCTTGGGGTCACCCATGGCAACTGAACCCCCTCGAGGGCAGCCGAGGGCCCGTCACAGCCTTGCCACCCGCATGCTGCTCCTCCCCTGGCTCCTGTTCTCTGCTGTCCCCACGCAGACATCACTCGTCGCGACCCTCTCTTCTCTCCCAGCCTCCCAGTCTAGCACGGCAGTCTCCTCACCGGGTTCGTCTGCATGAAGCCTGCCCGCCATCTTCCTGACTCCCGCAGGCTGCCTTCCCCTTCTGTTCTCCTGACCTGCCCCCTGCCCCCAACACATGAGAGCCACACTTGGGCATGTGGGAAGTCTTCCTTGACGCCGCTAAAGTCCCTTAATCCGGGACAGCCCCGCCCACCCAGCCCAGCCCTTAGCTTCCCGCCCTCTTCTCACCTCTCTGCCCCTGGGCAGCACCTGTCCTCAGCCCTCCCAGGCGCCTGTGTGCCTCAAGCTTTGAGAATATTCTCAAAGGCACGTTGGCAGCACCTGGGGGCTGGGCCAGGCCCACAGGGTCTTCCTGGTGGGGGTCAGAAGGATGCTGTGTGAGAATGCAGTGAGCCAGACCTCAGTGCCCTCAGCCCCTCTGGCCTGGCTGTGGGCATGGACCCCCACAGTTGCTGAACACTTCTCAGCTGAGGGAATACTGTGCCAATTTTCTGCTAAAGGGAAAGACAAATTCTTGTCACCATTTAGGGCTCTTTGCCCTGACTCAAAAGCATGAAAATAAATGAAACGTCCTTCCTCTTTCAGTAAGGAATGCTCCCAGTTACCAGACCAGGTTCTACTGCATAAATCGAGCCTGGTCCATGCACTAGGCCAGCTTGAGAATCCAGCAGCTCCTTGGTCACTGCCTTCCCTGCTGGCCCTCCTCTGGCTCTTAACCCTCTCTGCCCACTCATGCCTGCAGGCTCTGCTCCCATTCCTGCCAGGCCGATCCTGGGAAAGCCACCTCTCTTCCCTTAGCCTCAGTTCCCCCCCCCCCCATACAGTGATATGGCTTTAGTCCTCTCCCTTGCTGCCACCAACATGGCCACACCAAGTAGCTGTGCCCATTCATGCAGCAAATGGCCTCCCTTCCCGGGTGGGGGCCATACGCAAGATCAGTGCTTCCCTGAAGCCTCCTTTCCATAGGCCACCCCCAGGCCTGCAGGGTTCACTCCCCTTCCTGCCCACCTGTCCTGTCTGATCCGGCCCCCAAGGGGCCCTCTCCCTCCTCTTGCCCTTGCCATGAGGCCTTGACGCCCTGCTCAAACCTAAGACACCTGCCGGCCCTACCTTCAGCCTGTCCATTCTCACCCTTCAGCACCAGCTGGGCTCAAGGAAGCGCTTCCTAATCTCCCGTGTTCCCTGATCAGCCTCCTACACACATACACCTGAGCTCCCCAGTGTTCCAGAAGAACCACCTGCCATAGGGAGACCAGAAGCGGGAAGCCTGGGGGGAGGCCAGACTCACAGGTTGCTTCAGTCCTGAACCAGGAGACCTGCAGGTGGGCCAGGACAGATCCCCAGGGGAGAAACGGCGGCAGCCTGAGCAAACACCAGCCCCGGCTGCCCCTGACGGCTGCCCCTGACGGCTCTGCCTCAGATGGCACTGCCCTCCGGCACTTCTGCACCAGAGGGCTGCTTGTGGGATAGCAGTGTGCCGAGGTGCTGGGTGCTGGGCGGGGACACGTCACAGATGCAGGTGAAACCCAGAATCCTTTGTTGGCAGAACTTCAGAATGCACTTGGGTGGGTACAGGAAGTGAAAGGATGAATCTGACGGAAATGTGAAGGATGGGCAAGGACTGTTAAGCAAGTGGCAGAGTGAGGCTAGCCGAGGCCGTGTGACGCCAGGCCCAGCCCAGTGAGGTGGCAGATGCTAGTGCCTGGGCACTGGGGGGCCGGTCCACACACACTTAGCGTGTCAGGAGCAGGGAGCCAGTCTCTTCCTCCAGACTTGCTCCTCCTTCCAAGAACCCAGCAGATGCCAAGAGCAGGGGACACAAGACTAGACAGTGGGCAAGCCTGGGCAAGCCACCCCCCAAAAGGCCCCACCTTGAGTTTAAAGGACTCTACAGCCTTTTGCAATTTTCAGTGGATGTTCTGTGAGGATCCTCAGAGAGTGGTACCTGTCACAGGTCTCAGTGATGCAAAGCCAGCCAACCACCGCCTCACCAGAGCAGCAGGCTCTCAGAACATTCAAGTTCCTGGCCAGAGGCCAGTGCCTGACCCTGTATGCCCACCGAGTATGGCTCACTCCTACCCTCATTTAAAGGGGAGTGGGGTGGGCAGTGTGGACAGGCAGGGAGGGGCGACGAACTAAGGCCACAGAGGAACAGAAACTTGACCATTGTCATGAGCCAGGCAGCAGAGTCAAGTCAAGGACCCAACTCCCCTGACACTCTGGCTATTCTGTGGGATCCCCAGAGTGACCGCTCATAAGCTTAATGCTATCAAGCCATGGAAGTGATCACTGACAGGACCTCGCCCTAGTCACACACACCCCCAACACCCCAAGCAAGCTGCAACCTAGCTCCCCTTTCAGTTTGCACAAAGTTAGGTCCAGGGTTGGGGCTAATTTCACAGCCATCCCTTCCTGGGGGAAGTGTGCATCGGGTGGCCTCTCTTTCAACACCCTTCATTGTGTTGAAGAGGCGGCCAGTTTCACCCTGCTTGCGTGCTGGGGACAGAGGCCATGGTCAGCGCCTGCCATGCCAACAATGTGGAGGCCCAGGAGGCACCCACCTTTCGAAACTGAAGGCTCAGCAGGCCTCTGGCTCCCCTCTTTAGCTGGCCGAGTTCAGAGGCTAAATTATCCTGGCAGCGGCTGCATTCTGTTTGGTCCTGTAGGATGCTTAAAATGTCTTTCGGCCAAATTTTAAAAACTGGGAGATCACCAGTTTCTCCTAAAAACTCCGCTCTGATGCTGCCAGGCTGCCTTCACACAGGCAGCTGAGGGGACACTCTGTGGTCTGTCCCTGAGTTCTCCCACCCTGAGGCCCAGAGGTCTCACCCAGAGGCCGCCTGCTGGGCCTACCCCTGACAGCACAGTCGGCCCTGCCCAGACCCTGCCCCCGGTACGAGCCCTTGAGCCCCGGTGCTCACTCCCCTGAGTAGTGAGACAGTGGCAGGAGCAGGAAGAAGGGAGGACTGGAGGGTAGGGCCCTGGCAACCAGAGCAGGCTGCTGCTCCCTTCCTGAGGAGCAGCTTCTCTGGCCATGCCTCAGCTTGCAGGCAAAGCTTCTGGTCTGCCAATGACCAAGAAAAAAGCAAAGAAATACCAGGCCCAGTGTTCCCTGTGAGAAGCAAACTGAGAGCATGGCAACCAAGAGAATCCTCAGGCAGACCGGTAAAAGAAAAGCAATTTTACATGCCTTACAGAAACTTTTTTTAAAAGTCAACCCCCAAATCCATCCAAATCGATACTGGAAACATCGTTAAAAGTCAACCCCCAAATCCATCCAAATCGATACTGGAAACATCGTTAAGAGTCTGCATAAAGATGGTAACTTCATTAGAAATGACACCATATCCAAAAAAACCTGGAGATCAAGACCAATGTTTTAAAACCAGATGACTTACTTTGAGTAAAATTTACTTGCAAGTTTCCTTAAAAGATCCTGAAGACAGAACTCTACGATCAGTGCCCCATGAAATAAACCTTCTATGTCGTCGTTACAAGACCCTGGATGGTGTCAAGGTTCAGCATGGGTGGAGCTGGGGCTTGGATTCTGCAGCTTCCAAGACACATGTCTGCACTGGCAGCGATCTACTGAGCCATTAGCGTGACCAGTCAGCAGGCACAGTGAACGACAAGGTTTAGTGCTGATCAGCGGGCTTTCATTTGTAAAAGGAGATGCTTCTACTAAATTCCTCCTAAGTGGAATGAGCTGCCTCTGTCCCTCAGGTCTACAGGGCCAAAGAATCCTAGTATACACCCGGTACCTGGCTTCAAATTAGAAATACTCATTAAGGTAAACACAGTTTCACTCATACAGAATCTTCAGTAAACAGGGTTTCAAGCATGGAGAATTGCAGGCAAGAGCTTAAGGGGCAGGCAAACCCCCAAACCGCGAAAGTTCTCCCCCACCCCCCAGTGCTGACAAAGGGCTCTTGGGAAATGCCTGCAAACCCCAGGGTGTCACTCAGGACCCCCTCCCTGGGCAGTGCCCACAGGGCTGCTTGGCTCTTGGCCCTTGTACAAACCCAGGCGGTCACTTACATCGACTCTTGCTCTGTCGCAGAGGGTTGGGCCATGCATGGACAGTCCACTCCACAGTGGCCCCAGGAAAGGTGGGCAAAACAATTCTGCCCTTGCTCCAGGGTATGGCCGCGGCGGCACGGGGGAAGAAGGGGAAAGTGAGTGGATTAAACACGTACCGCCGCTTTCCAGTCCCCCCTTCTTTCCAGAAAACTCTGGATCCGATTTCCATTCGTTTTGGCAGAGATTATTCAGCGAGACGCAGCCCACTCTCCCGAACGCCCGCCCGCGAAGCTGTGCCGCGAGCACCGCCGGCGGCGGGGGGGACCTGGATAGGGGTTTCCCGAGGCTCCCCGCGCTCCCCACGCCGCGGGGAGTGACATCAGAGGCTCGCGTGGACTGGTCATGCAGCAAGCCCGGGGGGCGAGCGCGGGGAGTCGGGCCTCGGGTGGAAGCCGGGCAGCACTAACCCTTCTTAAATTTATTCAGGCAGCCGGAGCTGCAGAAGGCGCGCACGGAGGCCGTCTCCCAGCAGCCGCGTCCCTTCATCCCCGCGGCGGGGCGGCCTCCGGGCCGCTGGGCGCT